AGACGGGCGTTAAATTCACAGGTCCAGTCTCTTAAGTAACTTAATAGTGTTGATAGAGGAGTTAAACACATACACTTACTTTACTCACCCTGTGGTACAAGAAAAAAGGAGTCAGAGGGAAGTAGGTCAGGTTGTAGGGGGGAGGGGTATCAGCAATTTTTTTAGAGAGGGGGGGGGGCAGATAAGTAAAACGAAAAAAATCATCTAAGACCTGCAATGTATGGATATTAAAAATAATATACACATGGCATTTACATTCTCCTACGTTGTCAGTCTATTCTTATAACTGTAGAGAGTATAACGGACAGTTGCGTCTGTTTTAATAATAATAGTAGATAGCATAAATTGTATAGCGCAAATCCCCGCTCAACAGCAGGCTCTATGCGCTTTACACTATATTATTACCCCAGCAGACCATAGAACACTCCGAAACATTCTCAGCTTCCCTGGAAGCATACAGTGCAAGCAGCTGATTAAGCGCTCAAACACTAACATACTGACAAGATCTTTCGCTGTCTATAGCCGGGTACCCATTCCCACCTGGGTGAAGTGAGGAAAATTCGTGTAAAGTGCCTTTCCCAAGGACACAACGTCGTGTCCCTGACGGGATTCGAACCCACGACCTTACGGTTGCGAGTCCGAGAGCCTAACCACTAGGCCAACGACGCCACCTATTTTCTCACTTTTCACTCACGACACACTCAAGACAATCACAGGTATACCTGTCAACCAAAGAAAAAAGACAACAGTTTCTATCACAACCTGCGAGTTTGTGGTATTATGCTTTCTATACCCAAGATAAAAATACACCTTTTTCACAGCCATCAAGCTCTTATTTAAATTCTTCCTGTTGACAGGGGATCGTCAGTTTGTCTGTGAGCTTAACCCGCCTCTGACATCCGTGGTCAGGTATTATCTGTCACGCGCAGAGCCTCCACCACTGTCTGTTCTCAGGATAATGGCGGTGACGCAAAGAAGGGATAAATCCTTTCTGTCTTATACTGATAGCGAAACGGGCAGGAGTTACATAATTGCTTAGAAAATGACAGCCCCGAAACACAATCAGCCAGTCCCGTACATGTATGCGCATGCACTCACCCCGTCACAGATGAACACACACACACACACACTCACACACACACACACACACACACACACACACACACACACACACACACACACACACACACACACTCTCTCTCTCTCTCTCTCTCTCTCTCTCTCTCTCCACACGCGCGCGCGCGGCGGGCATAGGGAAGTTCAACATATACAGAGAGGGAGAGAGACGGTCTTTGAGAAGAACGTAGGTGCACAGTTGCATGCAGACGAAAAGAAATAGAGATAGGGTCGGGGAGTGGACCCCCCTCTTGTGGGGGCCTTGGGGAGGGGATAGAGAGAGGGTGGGGGGGGGGAAATAGACAGAGAGAGAGAGAGAGAGAGAGAGAGAGAGAGAGAGAGAGAGAGGGGAGAGAGAGAGAGAGAGAGAGATGGTGTGAACAGCCAGAAAGTTAGAAGAGATAATATGAGTGTTGGATTTGATGTTTTTTATCACACTCGAGGAAAAACCTGTCCTCAAAATACATTAAATATGGTGTTATTGTTGTGTTGT